GGATGGTGAAAAGCTGGGGGTGATTTTTTGGAGCTAACGGAGAGTGCGCCGAAGATCTACGTGGTGGATATAAGAAGAGCGACGCGTATCGTTGGTGTCCATTGTACACCTTATTTTACTGGAGTTCGCGCTCTAGGTACTCCGCGCGTGTCATCCAGCATACCATATTTCTTGTATAACGGAAAAACAACAGTGAAAGCACAAGTTTTCTCGATACCAGCAACATTCGGTCGGTCACCAGCTACTCGCCGCATCGAGAGGAACCCGTATATACGATCCGCGTATAAACATACGAGTATTCCGATATCGAAGGAGCGCGAGTCCGCCTCCCAGGTGTTTCGAAAGCGAGTAAGTATACGCATACACATCTACGCTGCTTGTTAGACAATCGTATTTTCGATAAGAGTAGAAGATGTTCGATATTCGGCATTTATTTTCCAAGCGTACACTCGGGAATTATTATTCGTACCCTGTGGCAAAGTGCGAATCAACGCGAACGTTAACATCTCCGTTTGTCGTGTTGTCACAGGGGAAATGAATTTGATTTTTTCGGAAATTTCAAGCATCTACAATAGCTGTTTTACTTGTACGCCGGGAACAATCGGAAAAATAAACGTAACGAAAGTGAAACTGTATTTATCAGATGCGCGCGATAAATACATTCGATTGAACTGTAATTCTTGTAAGTCAGAGATTCGCGAAATATGGAAATTGATTTGTAAGTAATAATAAATGATCAATAAATGGGGAATAAATGACAATGCTTAGGAGATGCGAAGAAATACTGTAGAGCGAGGGAAAAAGTATCTAGCACCTAATATCTGATAAAAGTATTGGATGCAAATGGTTTGTGAAAACAAATAAGTACTTCGATGACAGGTTTGAAAGCGTTCGATAACTACATTTTAACACATATGCTGACGAAAGTGCACCTTTTTTCTCCTGTCGCGCAATGCCATCGTTTGATTATCATTGTAAAAGCGCCGATCGATGAGGAAAAAGGAAACAAGGAGAAAGATATAAAATGTAGAAAGAACGTGTTACGTGTTTAAATATGTCTTTCATTATGTCTACTTACGAACACTGTCAACCGTTTTTCTGTATATGTGCGTGTGCGTGAATGCGCATTCGGTGCTGAACTCGTTTCTAAAGATGCAACTAAATGCGACTTTAATAGAAGCACGCAATTGGCAGATTATTTTTCGTAGAGAAGATTACAGTCGGCTTACGCTGCATTTCCATAAAGACTTTGTATTATATATTATTACTGTCTCTGCTCGCGCGCATCACTGCTGTGCAATATATGAAACGAATTAGTTCTCCCCCTTCCCGTCTCGGCTTCTTCATCGATGTTTATTTAGCAATGTCCGATCGATGTGGATTTTCGTAAAATTGTCATGTTCGTACAATACAATCGAATAGGATCGTATACGATCGTGCAGGGTCCCACGGTTCGTAAGTTTTTAATACTTGGCGTTTAGCAAGTATAACTGACAATTAGTAGAAGGGAATGCTCGCGGCAGAAAAACAACGATATTACTTCATATATTTCTCATGGCTGTTCATCCGCTTGTTCCTCGTCCCTTCCCGACCCCTTTCTTATTCCTCGGATTTAATCAGTACCGCTGGGATGCGTGCATTGAAGGAAAAGTCCGTTTTCCACGAAGGTACGAGATACATGCGCATACAGGTCCATGTGCAATGTACAGTTCGTACGAGCCAAGTAAGTAGTTGCATGCTGGCCGACTAATTATCATATGAGATCGGGACGTACAGTAGTGTCACGCGTCCTATGACGTACGAGATGCGAAAGTAAAAATAATAATATGATAATATCTTTCCGAACGACTTCCATTAGACGCTATGTGGGTGTTGCTGACAATTGTCTGCATTTTGGCGCGCGTCGTCTTCGGAAGTCCGGAAAGCGCAGGTCCTTTTCTCGATGTGACGCGCTCGGAAAATCAAAGTGCCGATACACTTGGGAATCGAAGTAAAAAATCTGGACTTTGGCCGGATGCACCGACAAAATGGAATGGGGAACCGCTCGCGATGGAAGCAAACCGGATAGGAATTGATCCAGGTGCGATCTTGCTTCGAGAAGTAATAATGAATTGTTCGAATTGCTTTGAACGGCGGTTTTCGTTTGAATGTTAGACGCGGACAAATACACGGAAGAATCCCAGAGGAAGGTAAGAGGTGAGCTCGATGATATGGACAGCGAGCAAAGAATCGATTCGAATGTACCGAGCGTTGCAAAGAGGAGAGACACTGCGAATTCTTGGTTCGATGTACCTGCCAACGAGAAGGTGAGCTCGAGCTATTGTACCCTGATCGATAAACGTAGACGTCGCGGAAGCCGACATGCAACAAGTGTTCTCGGTGAAAGGAGTTTCAGGATTCTTCTCAGGAGAAAAAGGATCATTGGCCGTATTGGTGGGAAGACAAGAGGATAGGTTCGTACGCGCAGAACCCTGACATTCGTCGACCGATTCGAATGCCGTTCAACAGCTGGCTTGGCAAACGCGGCAGGTGGCCGTACGTAACTATGCCTGGAAAAAGAGCTCGAAACCTCGACGCCGGTGAATCGGAAGGAGACGGCGATCACGACGGGAATCCAGTTCGATCCAGGCTAACTGTGTCGTCCTCGAGTATCGATGACAGTCCTGCTGTTCGCCCCTTCGACACCTCCGCGGCAGGTCAGTGAAACTTTGATGCGACTCGCAGCGAACGATGTAGAATTCGTTTGCTGAGACGAATTGCTGTTTCAGATGAGTTCCCCAAGGCGTACGATACGAGAACATTCAAAGACGAGCCGAACATGACACGAGGGAAGAACGAGATACCTGAGGGGAACAACGCCGACGTCGGCGACAGGTGGGTTGGAAAATTTCGGCGATTCGCTTTGCCAAATTATAATACCAAAAAAACGCGAACCAACCACCGAGAGTAACTCTACGTATTTGAACGTTACAGGCGAATGGAATTCTGCACGCTGATCCCTGCGAGGAGAGCTCGGGGCAAAACACCGTTTAACATGTGGGGTAGGAAAAGAAACTTGAAAAACAAATACCTCGAGATGCCTAGCCGACCCGCGAAACAAGGGGATGTCTTCTTTCCCTGGGCTGGATAAAAATCACTGAAACACTATTCTACGTTATCGTAGCAACCTGTGTCCCGTGATTCACGCGTCGATTCGAGCACACAGCGCAAACGAATATCTAGTATTTATCGGGCAATTACTCTGTAACAAATTTCTCATGTAATTATCCTTTGGACTGTGCTGTTAGCTTTTCCGAAAGTTCCGCTTCGACGAGCATATTATTGTACCAGTATATTATTTCATGTATTCTTACCGTACGCTAATGGATTAAAGTACAGGGTTGTCACGAGAAAATGCAAACATGTGGACAGCTAGCACGTTTTTCCTTTCGAAAACAAACGGCTCGAGATACCGTCGAGACATACCTCAAATTGGTTCGCGACGATAAGTAAAACTCGAGACGCGTGACGATAACCAAACCGCTTCCGTTCAATCGACAAAACGAAACGTCTTCTCTGCTCTGCGCGCGTCGCCATTACGGTTTGTCGATCACGTGATTAAACAACGAACGTCGTTTCAATGTTGTTTGAATCTCGTTCCCGCTAACGCGTCACGTGACCGGTAAAACTAAGCGAATGTGCGCGCGCAATGGGAAAGTCTCGCGTTCCCTCGTTTTCGATTGAACGAGAAATGTTCCGTTGTAACGCTGATGAAACTTTCAAATTCATTTCTGTGAGCCACGCAAGAAATTTCGAACATCTAGTTGCATATACGGGAGCTCGACGAGTTTTCAAGGACCGTGTGTTTACGTTCAGCAAAGAGAGTGTAGTCGCAGGATCAACATTTACAACTGATGCGCCAAACCTTCAAGAATACTTCTATCAACTATTTTTCTGGAGGTACGTCTCAATATATTTGACGGTGTTTATATTCAGTAGCAAATAATAAATAATTTAATTGTTTCATATCGTATCTTATCGTATCGTGTCGTTTCGTCCCGTCCCGTCCTGTCTCGTCTCGTCTCATGCCGTGTCTTGTAGCATGTTCTGTCGCATCGTATCGAACAAACAATTTTTCTCATTTTACTTCGTATACCTTGCTATCGATCTCTCCAATATATCTCATAAGGATGAAATGTGGCATTAAGATAACGCTGATGTGGAGGCACTACTTTCTTCAAAATTATTTCCCTAACTAAATGATACAGAAATATTTCGTGCAATCGTATACGTGAAACTTGAAACGTAACGCGTAATAATCCACTGACCGTTTAACGAAGACATTGATTTGACCCAACTGACCATTATACAGTCGATTATAGAGAATAATTAGTGCACGTCATTTAGAAAATAAACTGTATTGTATATGCATCGAATAATCATCTGTTAGGCACTGAGTATATATACATATATATGCATGTACACGACGTCTGAACAACAAGCCGTTTGCACTTATGTGTAGTGGACATTTCTGATATGTACTGGCTTTTAGTTTAGCAATTTGGTGCGTATGTATGCAAACAAATATATATATATATATGTATGTTCTTCAAAGTATCAATATATTTTCATAAAGTAGAAGGACTTACCAAAGGAAAATATTTATAGCTTTAGCAGATGAGCAGATGTGCAGGTTAGGAACGTTTGTTCATCTACCGCTATTTGACGGTGTGGCGCTGTTGTAAACGTGGGAACGGTGTACAGTAGAGCCAACCTAACCAGACGATACGCGTATCGCCCACATTTGCTGTATAATATTATTTTTTCATTTGTTTATACATTGTCCGCGTGTATTTTTTCTTTTATAACGAGTGTATGTCAAGACACTGACCGTGGAATTATCAAGTATTTCATTCAGAGTAATTATTATTTGACAACATAGTTTAATAAGGATAACCGGTTAGTAAAATTAGTTGGAGACGTACGATCTTATGATTAGACTTAACCTAGATGCTCTTGTTTTCATATATTTGTGTTCATACTCGGTATAGTAGTTGGTTCGCATAGCGGAAAAATTGTCCTTTCAATTGAATCACCTTGAACCGTTTAGTTGGATTAAGAGTTTACATTTTAGCTTCAATAACAGTTTTCTATTGTTTAAGCAGAATTGTTTAACCACTTTCAGTCCTTAAACTTTTATTTCCTACGTTGGACTAAATACTGTTACGCTCCTTTGAAACAGCTGATAAATATGAATTTAGATGTAATCACCGTAGACGCACGTTTATTCTTGCTACGTGTTTTTCTATCTTAAATAAAGAGATATATAAAGAAGAGGATGAATACAAATTACCGAGTTACCTACCAATATCATTTATAGACCATAAAAGTTCATGTAGTTTACAGATGTTATATTTTCTAGAATACAGTCTAATAAAAGATTTACTTATTCCCTTTATCGATTCGATTTGGCTGAAAATTAAAGATGACGCTACATATTAGAACATTCTTCATTTCAGACACCGTTTACTTACCTGGGAACTTTCTGTCATTAATTTCTACCGAACGCAATATGGATTTTATTTGTAGGAATAGAGGTTGCTGTAACGGTTATTTGTTCTCTTTTCTTTTTTTTTCATTAACTAAGCGATAGATAACCAAACGACGACCAGAGCGTTTAAATGTTACATGTGGGGATTGTGGCATTCTCAACGTGTAACTATATTATTACAATTGACAACTATATAGTTTTGCTTTTATTGATATGTATTTGACTAGTTCACACTGTAGATACACAGACAAACGCGACGAACAGACTGGCAGCAAACAGACAGACAGACAGACAGACAGACAGACAGACAAACAGACAAACAGACAAACATACATTGTATCTATCGAATAGTATATGATGTACACGGTAATTGTTTCCTCTCATGATATATATTCGCATACGATCCACTTTCTTAGTAGTCGGTAAAAATTTAGTTTCACGGCGTTTGCGAGCACACAACTAAAATGTACGGTCAGTGATACGGTTTTCCATTACCTATTCTATATCCGTTTCTATATCCGCTGCAAGTATTTATAGTTATTTATAGTTATTTTTTATCTTTCTGTGTAACGAAAACAGCGATGGTATTTTCGTTGTACGTAATCGAGAAAATAGCATAAAATGTCACTCCATCTATTGGTTTAGTTTCGATTGCTCGTAATTCTTTGGAGAAAACACGTTCGAAGACAGAGCGTTGGCGTATTCGCGACCGCTGTAAGTTTCAAGCGTACAGCAACGTACATAAACTGCTCTTCTAGTCGGTATCGAAAGTAACCGTTGCGTTCGTCGAACAATACGCCGAGATGGTATCTTTGATTGTTCGTAGGAAGCGCAACGAATACTGCGAGAATAAGTTGTAAAGCGTGCCCGCAGCACGTCGTTTCGTAAGAAGCACTTTGACCGTGCAAGGCCAATGACGATGATCACTGATCGAACCGCGGCTAGATCGATGTACGTACGCGTTTAGTCGTCAAGTGGATCGCTTTCGAATACAAGCTGAAACGGAAACACGCTAATATTACGCTGTTAATGTTGCTGTTGCGTTTGCCGGTACCAATAAACGCACCAGTATCAGCGTTCAATATCTGAAACGGAAAGGAAAAGCGGAACGTGGTTTCACGAATACGCAGAGTGGGCAAGAATGTATCGTAGTACGGTGTACGCGACTGTCTAAATAATTGGACTTTACCTAATGACATAGAAGCATTCTTTCTTTTCGCATCTTCGGACACGTTAAAAGACAGGTTGGTCCTGTAACGAGGATGATTTTTTACCTCTAACGCCCACGAACTTTCCTCGAAATTCCCACCGAGGGTTCTTTTTGCCTCGAACACCAACGTATCTGTACGGCGATCGTTTCTTAATTTCGTATGCTGCCACTTGGTTTGTCGTAAATCGATCGTTGTTTGTACCTAGAAAAACGGAAGAAGGATAACTTGACGTTGCGTGTAACATAAGACGATAACCACTGAGAGAACTCGGTAGTCGATTACCTCTGTAGCTCGAGCTGACATCGAAAACCTGCGTCGCGTCCCTTTTACCTCTCATCCCGTGGAAACCCATTCGAGCTCTCTTCAGGGGGTCGACGAGGTAATTTTCGTTAAAATCCGTACTTCTCTTTGCGTATTCGGAGGGAACGATCGGATAATCGAGATAACTGACGAACGTGTCCTTTTTACCGCGCATTCCCTGCAACATTCTCGCCGGTTTCATATTCCGCGGATGCGAACTACCGTGATATTTGAAATGTGAAATATGAAATACGAAATGGAAGGTCGCTCGGAACAGTGGCTAGACTCTGATTAACATGCATTGTACTAACGTGAAAACCCATCAGGGCCTTCTTGCCGAGTTGCTCTATCGCCTCGATAACCGCTTTCTTGCCCCTCGTCCCCTGAAATCCCATCGGTGCTCTCTTCTCCCATTCTTCTAGAATCGTATCCTTTTTGTCGCGCACACTCCCCTGGTATCTGTCCGTCGCCATCGTCATCGTCATTGGCTGTACCATCGAGCCCGTCATTAGCATCGGTAGCATTCTCGTCTCGTAATCTTCCGAGTAATCGGACTCCATCGCTGTCCTTTTCTCAATCTCGTTCAAGATCTGTGTACGCGCGAGACACACGAGACACGTGTAATAAGGTGATTGTGCTATCGAGAGAGTACGGTGAGGATGACGACGATAGTCATTATTTACCTGTTCGAGACTCTTTTTGCCTCTCATCCCTTGGAATCCCATCGGGGCGCGTTTGTAGTGTTCATCCTGTTTATAGTACGCCTTCTTCTCGTACGCGTCGGCTGGGACGTAAGAATCCTCGAAGTTGAAATTGAAAGTGTCCTTTTGACCCCTGGTATTTTGGAAAACCATGGGCGCAGGTTTATCGGTGTCCTTCGCGTCGAATTCGTGTTCGATTTCGTGTTGGATTTCGTGTTCGATTTCGGACGTTATCGAATCCTTTTTTCCCCGCATACCCTGCGCGTGCCACGGGAACAACAAGGTTATCGATACTCCTGTATTCTTGTTTGAAAATTGTCGACAGTTGCTTTACCTGGAATCCCATAGAAGCCCGTTTAGACATTTCGTCGCCTTCCGCAGACGCGAAGCTCTTCTTCTCGGCCATTCCTTTAAAGCCCATGGGGTCTTGTTTTGCGGAAAAAATACTGTTCGACGATGCATCAGCGGCAAACGTGAACGCGATGGTCGTTATCAGAAGGAAGCTCGACCGGACGATCATCCTGCAACAAAGGAACGTGTTATTTGGATCGACTAGTCGCGATTATTTCAGCGAAACCGAACGACATCTTGTTGCTGTCATTTGATTTGGGAAAAGCGACTCGATTCGAATCGAATGTTTGCAAGTGGTTTCCATACTATCGGTCGAATATCGAATTTGATATTCCGTATACGTGGCTGCGAAGGGCGGAGGCATATCAGAATGAACACGAACGAAATGTCGATACGCTCCCGTTCCCTTTTAATATTCGGATGAAACTCAATTTTCAAATACATTTACCGTCGACCGACGGTCTTTCCACGGTCTGCTCTGCGAGCTCTCGTCACCGCTTTATCGAAGCTTTTTCGTTCAGCCAAGTCGAACGCCATCCAGATATCGTCGAGTTACCAAATTTCTCTGATCGAACAATCTTTCTTTTTCTACATTGTTGGTCGCTCGACTGAAATCTGGAATCTAATTGGAAGGAAGTGGGACGATTGGCAAGTGGGAAATTTGAAATTGGTGAACGACGTTGGCTGCTTTTCCAGCTGGCGTGCGTCGCTTTGTAAGTTTAAACGTTGCGGTAAACCACCTTGAGCGAGAGTACCTTAATTAGAACGCTATAGAGCACGTTATTGCTCAAAACGTGCAGCTCTCGCGGTTTTTCGTGTCAGTCGCGGCGGCGGTGTCTCTCTGGGTTGCTCACTGATTTCCAATGTTTTCGTATCGGTAAAATGGCACGCATCGACGAATTTGCGCGCGAGTAGTATTTATTTCCATAAGTAGGGGCAAGCGTCGCAGGAGCGATCCGTCGAGGTCAGCTGACGTCGAGTGGACGGAGCGACGATACCCTCGTAACATCGACTCGGCCGATATAAAGAGACCGATAACAGGTGGGGGAGGATCGTGTGGCGGGAAGACAAGGGATTAGCGGGGTTGCCTCAGCCGGTGTCGTATAGGTTCTGCGGCGAGTTGGCTTTTTCTTCACCGGATCGGTCACTCGTGTAATCGTTGGAAACCAGCCTCCTCTGTACACTCTACGCTTTCTCTGAAAATCGATGATCCGCATCTGGCGAACTTTTTTTCTAAACGAGTCGACGAATCACATTGGCTTACTTGGATTCGCCGAGCAGGAACGGCGGAAGATGGGAAACCGAAACGCAATGTCAGCTTCGCGCAACTCTGCGTTTCCTTTCGATGCGCCTATGACAGCTTTCTATCTACAATTACGCGGATACGAGACTAAAAGCGGCATCGGTTGATTGATTACACGGCGAACAGTGATACACGATGGCGCGTACCGTGCGTCTGTACGGACAGCAAGTCCTGTAACGACCATATCGGAACAGTTCCGAATCGTTGCTCTTTCTCTTGGCGATTGTAATTAATCTTTCGCGTCAAGTTGTTGGTTCTATCTATGCGAGTGCTGGCCCCACGTTACGGAACGCGATCGGCGACGATTTTTACCTCCGACTCTGTAGCTTTAGCTTTACCTTTACCTTCATTTTCACATTCGCGTTTACCAGAGTCATTACTGTTGTCCTTGCCGTTACCGTTACCGTTACCGTTGTCAAGACAATTCCAACTTCAGGTTTCCCGTTCGCTTTGTTTACACGTACCTTCCTTCGAAATGCGCCGATTGTTACACGGCAAGTTTGGATTCGCAAGGAAATGCTTGCAAGCCACGCATCGACTCTTTAGGAATTCCATGTATGCAAGTAGATGCTTGGACGCGTACGATTCGACCGTTGCAGATATCTCGAAAAGCTTCGGGAACGATCATCCGGAGAAAGCGATGCGATGCCTGCGTATCTCTGCGATACTGACTAACGAGTATATTAATGAATTCTTTTAATACGGTTTCGTTAATTGGATTTTGGCAAATTTTCGACGAGAAGTATAGGTTTTCAGTGACCTTTCGGAACATCGATTATCGAGCTCGTGGGAAGCAGTAAACTCGTCGATAGTTCAGCTTCCCTTTTTCGACCTTAATGCGACAAGGAACAGTCGCCGACACGGTTTCGTTCGTGATCATTCCAACGTTAATCTTCTCGCTAGTAACGAAAGAATATTGAATATCTTGCTGAATGCCCGGTAATCCTTCGGATAGTATCGTCGATGAAGCGATCCGTATAACGGACATCGAGCGTATCGCATCGCGAAAGTAAGTGTACGTTTCTGTACGTGCATTTCACGGACAAGTTGGGACAAGCACTGTGCCGAGATATTTAACAATCTCGCGATTACGTTATTTAGAGTTCAGTAGATGGGCAAATTCTCGTTTCATCAAATGAAACAGTCGGGTTCTGTTTGTTAACCTCGTTTCAAATTGTAGGATGACGTAGGTACCGCGGTCAACTATCTACGATTATCGATCGGTCGTTGTCATCGACGTTTTAGCGTTTTAGCGTTTTAGCGTTTTAACGTTTTCACATTTTAACATTTTAACATTTTAACCTTTTAACCTGGCCGCTTAAAGCAATTTCTTCTACGAATCATATTAAATTCACAGAGTAATTTGAAAGTTTCGAAAAGCATCGATCGGATCGAGTAGATTTAAAATTGCTCGAGTTGCATTTTCACCGAGCATGAACGGACAAAGGCGAATAGACCGTCCATGGGATTTTATGCTGGATTTAGCGTCACACGCATGGACGAAATAGAGAGAAATCGTACCAGCAAAACCTTGGCAAGAAAGGATCTGTTGAATTATTTAAAGAAATTGGAGAGATCGTTTCGGCGAGATGTCGACGACAAAGGAAAAGACGGTTACACGGGTAATTGTCGTGTCGATTCGTCGGCGTCGGAGCCGGCGCCGGCGTCGAGAAACGGAAGATTAAGTGAAAACAAGAAGGAACAGGAACGTAACGCGTACTTGAACGTTTCGGACGTTTCGAAAGAGCGGTGCATCAGACGAGATCATTTGAGCGTTCATCACGAGTATTTTCAACAGTTTTTTCGACAACCCGTTAAAAGAGTTGCAGTGGTATCGTCGCGTGTCCGACCGATATCAGACTGTCGATTTCGCGGGGGTCGGTCGGAGGTAGACGTTGAACGATTAAGAAAGGAAAACTGTGGTTACCGTCGACGAAGAACGCGCGGGAGACGCTCGTCCTTCCCGTTATTCTCCGCGGAAAGGAATACTGTTCCTTTTGCCTTTCCTTTCGATTGTACGCCGGTGCAGATGGTGAACGACAGTTTCGGTTTGCAAGACAACCCGGTTGCATCGCAACGCATCTCACAAAGAGAATCGAATGGGAGGAGCGACAACAGTGGTGCAATCACGAAGAAATTCTCTCGTTTATTTTCAATCGCGGACGATTCGAATCGCTTGGAAATTCTTCGATGCGAAGAATTTCGAAGGAACGAACGAGAACAGAATCACCGACGCAAGGGAGAGACGGTACATGCGCTTATCTATTTTTCTTGATTGAATATCGATATTAATCGGCAGAAGCTTTCGGTTCGTTGGAGCATTTCGAACGCAAATATCATCAGTAGTATCCATGACGAAACGAACCTGTCCATTCGATTTCAGAGAGAGGGTTCGGCGTGCTCGGGAACGCCGAATCGGACGATACGCGATTGTAGAAACAACAGCGATCAGCAATGGATGCAACAGGCGGGGAAAGGGAAAGGAAAAGGAGAAGAGGGACGAGTTGTATACTTCGCAGAGGCTTACCGTAGCGGAAGGCGATTCGAAACCTTTCGCGAAACGGACACGAAAATGTTGCTGGAACACCCTATCGACGACCGTCGGCACTGTTCGAAAATTTGTTCGACCGAACGGGATCGTTTACGACGTGTGCGGGACACTTGTTTGGACACTGATCGATCAGAGTGCCGCGAACGAACATCTTCCACCGATTCTGCTTGCTCGTTGTTAGGAAAGTTTCATTCTTGTCCTTTCGTCGAGGAAAGTTTTCGAAATATTCCGACAAACTCGACCACGGCGAAGAACGAATCGAACGCAACCTGTTGCGGTTGCAGTTCTCGTTCTCACTGTTGCCGCGTGGTCTTTGATCTCGATGCGAACGATTCCGGCAAGCGATTAGAAGCGTCAACGAGATGTCGGAAGTGCGCGGCGATTCGTTCCATCGCGCGTACAGCCGTACCTTTGAGGTCTCGTGCGAAGCGACGAACAGCGACCGCTCGACGCAAATGTCGTTTCCGAGACAGGACAGTTTCCACGAAGAAGATAATTATCGAGCCAAAAGATGACACAGCTGAGGTCAATTCGAAGAAAGTATTGGTCTATCCTCCGCTCGGTCGGGATGGGCCACCTCTGACGCTTTACAAAACTAGTTCGATTATCGATTGTGCGGTGAAGGGAAATCCGCGTGTCGGATTTCGTTATAACGTTGCGTACGTTCAACGATTTCAGACTTCGGTTTGGCGTCCAAGTGTGAATCCGCGCGAGCCTCATCGTAGCAGTGACGCTGACGGTAACGGTGACCAGTAGTTCGATCTGGCAGAAGGTCGGACGCAAACGATGAAAACCAACGTACGACTCACGTCCGACAATGCCGTTGAAAAGATTCGGCGAACTGCTCGGAAAGTTTTGCTGTCACGCCCAACGATCGTCTGTTTTTCCATTTTTCCCGTTTCCATTGAATATTATACTCGCCATCTTACAATTCTGTCGATCGGACGCGTCTTGAAAAGGTGGCTCTGAAAAGTTGCAACATTGTAAGAAATTTCTCTCTGGGAAAGTGGTAACCGAGCTAATCGAATAAACGACGAATTGCACGGTAAATTGCAACGTCGTCCAGATAGAGCTGCGAAAAGTCACGAAGAGCTACGAAGAGCTGCGAGACGAGTCGCGTCGGGTCTCGGAGAACTTGATTGCTTCGGTGTTTGTTAAATCCTGTCTCGTGTAACGTCGGTGACCGAGTACCCGATTACTTTACCGACTTCCTTCTCCAGCGGCAGGTCCGATTACCTTGGTAATTACGTGGGGACATTCCTATTTTCTGGAACGCATCTACGCCTTGAATGAAATCTATTGTAAGGCGATACGTC